GCATTCCATGGAATATAACAAAAAGTGTATCTCGAGCCGGTTTCTCAAACTTACCTACCCTACCTTTAATGTATAATTTATTAAATAAAAATACTGTTATGAACACTATACAATGCAGTGGCGCCCGGCCCACATGTTTGATTGTCATTAAAAATTAAAAATAAATAAAAATATATATTTAACCTGTTAAGCACCAAGCCTGTTTTTCATGTTTCAGGCTCGAAAATGACATGCCCAAAACAAATGACTACAACTTAACTTCTAAAAGGGTTATATGAATAATTTCTTTTATCAAAGCAAGGTTACATCTGTGAGTTGGATGTAGAAGTGTCAGAATCAATATAAATGTTTTTTATTTTAAAGAAAATTCAGATTTTACATAGTAAAAAACTGTAAATTATAGTGTCCGTCCAAAAATTATTTTTTACAGATAGTGAAAACTACCCTTGGATGATGGGTTAGTAGACTAAAAGCTTTAGGAATCCAAAGTACAACATATAATAAGTACCCTGTAGCAAGATTGATGCAAAACAAGTGACATTTGACCTTTTTAGAGAGGTTTAGCCAAAACCACCCCACCTCTGAGGTGATTTGGGTGAAAATTGTTTTTTTTTCATATCTCTGGCCCCCCTTGGTCGATTTTGATGGTTGACACCTCTTTCTGACCGTTAGAGCCAATAGAATCGAAGGGGGAGGCCCCCACACACACACGTTGTGAAGAGAAAAGGTGGGGGCTGCGCGCATGTAAATGTGCAGCAGAGTGGACCGATCTCTAGCTCTGGCATTTGGAAACGAAAAAGCAGTTTTATTGCTTATGGATTATCAGAAATCATTTCAAAGAGGGCACAGATACATTGGATTAACCTATGGATTAACTGCAGCATCGTTTTTTTATTGTTTTAATGCCATTGAAGACCAGTTTTGACCAAGGTAAGCCATGTTAGCGTTTCTAGCTACCTAGCTCCACATGTTATGATGTACGCTTTCGTTTATAGTGTCGCAAATGTTTATCACTGAGTGTTGAGGTGGGCACCAAACGATTCTGTGTCTCCAGGAGACCAAAAACGAGTGGTTGGCTGTGCATCTAGGATAAGTAATAAGGGAGTTATTGTGAGTTTAAGTGCCGTTTTAGGTTACATTTTTTCGCTCGTGGCTAATTCAGAGGCTGAGTGTTAGCATTGTGGGTTTTTTTTGGAAAAAAAAATTAAAAAGATCAGTGAGCTGAGTTTCTTCCCGTTACATGGATATAAAACATTCATAGTTTATTAAATATTAAGATTCCTTAGACGTTGTTTCCTGCAAATGACGCGTTTATCCGCCCGGTACCGGGGGGGCCGTGCGTAACAGGTTCAAAAATATATATATTTGTTATTTTTATTTTTATTTTTAATGAACAAGGTAAATATTATATAGTTGGTATGAGTAAAATGTATAATCTACAATAAAATCTCGTTTAAAATTGTGTTACGATGTCTAAAGTTACTGATAAGTCACATGTTTCCTGCCTGGCCGCAGAAATCATTACCCTCTCTCGTCTGGGCGCTAAGAAAGGAGCCCAAGTAAGTGCAGCAGCAGCCAACCTATTGCTGACTGTTGCTATCTGTAAACTATGCCGCCAAAGCATAATTTCAGCCAATCAGCGTCGTCAGATCTGATGGTCATTGGGCGCCAATTTCAGCGCCCAATGCAGTCTGTTTGGACTCGTATCCAAGGTGATGCTACAGTAGTTGATGAGGATGGCTGCGTGTGCAGGTGGAGACTCCGGACCTCGGTCCCCGCCCAATTCCGTCCAAGCACTGTTATCCAATCCTTTCGAAAGGAGAAGTTTGAGAGAGAAATGGTTGGTTAAAGACCTTGGACCGGACCAACCCGATTTGTTTATTTAATTTATTTCCTTCTTTTCCTCCAGATGTTGTAGTTCTCTAACTGGCCTGTTGAGGGCATCCTCTGCCTTCCTTAAACCTAAAGATCTCCATCTCTCTCACACACACACACACACACACACACACACACACACACACACACACACACACACACACACACACACACACACACACACACACAGACACACACACACACACACATAATGTTCGTATTTAGTCTCCTGATTTTAAATGGGAATTAAATCATTTGAGTGTTCCCAAAGCACCAGTGCTCTGCAGTTTGTGTGGGCCTACTGTACTGTTGCACAGTTTATACTGTAGAAACTATGTCCAGGACAAGGTGTTTGGAAGTTTTGGAAGATTCATAGCTAACCACACTGAAGATTATGGAGGTATTGATCTCATATTTTTAAGTCTCAATTTGTCCTTCTGCCCCCCCCCCCCCCCCCCCCCCCCCTCTAACATCACCAGAAGTCATCATTTAAGGCGTAATTTCTCCAATTACCCCCTAGTATGCTTTGGTCACCATTTCCATAGCCCCACCTAAAATATTTTCCACCAGCCGCCACTGGTTACCAGAATACATTTTATATTTAATACTAACATAAGCTGGTGATAGATAGATACATATTGCTGAAAAAACCAGCATAGACCAGCATGGTGTTGACCAGCATAGTTGACCAGCAAAACCAGCGTATGTTGTGTTTTGGTCACTTGACCAGCATACCAGCATAGACCAGCATACCAGCATAGACCAGCTTAGACCAGCATAGACCAGCATAGACCAGCATAGACCAGCATACAAGTGACAAAAACACAACATATGCTGGTTTTGCTGGTCAACCATGCTGGTCTATGCTGGTCAACACCATGCTGGTCTATGCTGGTTTTTCTTCACGTCATGCTCCCCTGGGAAGATTTTTTTAATATTGAAGTTAAAAGCATCAATCTGGTGCACTTTGAGAGCAAAATTAAGAGATCTATGGATACATCTCTCATCAACACCCATATGAAACAGAACTGTAAACAGATTTACTTTTTGGATATTTTACAAATCACTCCCCTTTTAAATTCTATTCTTGTCTTACTGTCATATAGTATTTCATACCTGTTTTTCATGTATTACTCTTATATTACTATCTGACATCACATACATCGTAGCCTTAAAGTTCACCGTTTATTTACAATTACAAAAATAAAAAAACTTTTTATTTTTATTTTTATATATAAAATAAAACGTGTTTATTGGGGGAGGGCAGGAATGTCAAATGGGAGGGCCTGGCCCTCCTACGGCACCGGGTCTGTGTAACGTCTATGCCAACCAACTGTAATTTGTAATGTATTATACTTTAACGGTCAAGTTCTGGCAACCACAGCAGCCCAAATGTTAACGTAAATGTCAAGTTTTCTTTTTACAGTGTACTTATATCTGTACATTTCTTTTCAGTTTGCTTCAAGAAGTGGCTTCAGCAGACAGAAATGCAGGCCAGATTGGGAAAGGCTGGACGCTGCACAAAGGGAAACATTATGGACATGAACAAGGAAAAACTAAAAACACTTTCTTTGTTGCCTTTTTCTTATCATACATAGTGTTACTGTTTTTGGTACCATTTAAATATTGAATTCTATTTATTACTTTTATTAAATCAAATGCACCTGTTTTAGATAATATATTTATTTTGATGTGTAGGTTGATTTGCAGGTTGGTTGTTATTTGTATAATTATTGTATTGTTACTGTGTATTTTATTAACTAGCTATTTATTGCTATTTATTAAATTAAAATACTGTTATGAACACTATACAATGTCTTTATTTTGGTAGATACCAGAATACATGACACAATGAAGCTTTGTAATATATTTATGTTCTCTGGTTTAAATAATCATACCAGTATTTAATGTATGCTGGTCACCTGGAATCCTGGTAAGCTTCTAGCATGGTATATTTAATACTATTATTAAACATAAACTGGTGATAGATGGATGCTGGTGACCAGCCCAGCATAGACCAGCATACTATGCTGGTCTATGCTGTTTTTTTTAGCTGGCCAGGATGGCTGGTTTAGCTGGTGGCTGGTTTAGCTGGTTTAGCTGGTTTAGCTGGTTTAGCTGGTTTAGCTGGCACGAGCATGGTTAGGATTCTAAATACATTTGCACACTTTTTATATAGCAACCTACTGTATGTCCATATGTTTCTGTTTTGGTGGTCGTGCCACAACCGTGCGTGTGCGTGCATGTGCGAGTCATACTGTAGGTGCGCTCCTGCACTTATGAAAAGCTCAAGACTTCACGCTATTTGCATACTGGCAGATAGAACAGAATATCTTTACTATTAAGTTATACACATTTTACACATGTTTTATACCTAATAATACAGACCTAAACATACACAAAATGTTAGATCTATATCAGGATTCATGTACTAAAATACAATGTATTTTACGGGATTCCACAAGCATTAGGCTATTATGTAGCTGACAATGCCAAATGAACGCTGAAAAGTAAGAATTGACCATGCACTTTACGCCTAAAACACACTCTATAAACATAGAAGAGTGAAAGCTGGCCATCATTAAGGCCATAGTGATATGTCTTTGCACAGTTTAAAGCTTAGCACTATGTTCCAAGCACCCACTGTGTTTCAAGTTCCTAACTACGCCCCTGGCTGAAACAGAGGGGTATGAGTCTCTCTATATGGCGCTGGGTATGAGGCATGCTACAATGATCTGTTTGGTATTTTGAACAAAACACTTCCGAGACATGTTTTGTATAGATATGGCCCTATAATATATTATTCAAATATAGCATAATAGGTGAGCTTTATGAGCAAAATTTCATGTAGACTCCATAAGGGCTGGAAATAATATTGAAGTGAAAAGTGTTTGATACTCTTTCCAAGGTATGCTATGAATAAACACCCAGACCAGAGCCGTATAATAGAATCTATAGATCATTTGGGATTTCATATTATTTTATTCTGTTTTTTGTGTGTTTATCTCGCCGTGTTTATACCGCCACCCACTGGTCGGGAGGGGAATAGCTTTTAGTATTCCCCTCCCGACCAGTGGTTGGCGGTAAGTCATCCGAGAGCTGTACAATGGGCCTATATAACAGAAGAAGAAGAAAACCCCTACAGAACCGTGAAGAGTTGTTTGGAAAATGGCGGGGGCTTTGAAAGAAAAACAACTCGTTGGACATGTTTATGCTACACTGCAGGTACACTTTAATGTAATAACAATGTGAGCTTTTACAACGTTTGGTTATTGTTGTTTATTCTCAACATGTTAATAAGTAACGTTACATGTTATTATTATATTAGCTCACTAAACGTTCCGACGTGCTTCGTTTCCACCTGAAAGATAACATCCGAATAGGAATATTAAAACATATTTGAACCTTTTACCCAGCAGCGGGTCGATCGCTGTTGGAGACTCCTCCTATACATTTGTTGATTTTAATATTTGGATGTCTGCAGTGTTGGAAGAAGTACTCAGACCCTTTGTTTAAGTAAAAGTACAAATACTATGGTCTTCAATACTCCATTACAAGTAAGAGGCCTGTTACTGAAGTAAAAATTCAAAGTATTGGCATCAAAATAAACTTTATGTAAAAGTACAATATGTTGAAATTACTCTGAACAATGGCCCATTACAGAATAAGATGTTCAATAATAAGTACAGAAGAATGACTGTATAAGCTAAATGTACTTCAAAAGTAAAAGTACTCGATGTGTAGAAAAGATAATTTCACAGTATTATATTAGGATTATGGTTCTTAAAATACTGTGTAATATTTAGTACAGTACTGCATTATACCATATCAGCATATCATGTGTTTTCTATACGTACACATTAACTGTGAGTGTTATAATGTATTAATGTAGTGGAGTAAAACGATTAGCACATTTGCCTTGTCATGTAGCAGAGGAGAAGTATAAAGCATAAAATGAAAATATTCAAGTAAAGTCCTGGTACCTCAAAATAATTATTAAGTAGAGTACTTAAGTAAATGTACTCTATTACAGACTGGATGTCTGAGATCAAAACTCAAATAATACTGTATACATATGTTTGTATGCTTTTGGAAACCTCTTAATATTGAAAAAAGGTTAAAGTTGAGATTTTTCTAAAAAGTAATTTACCTGTACATTTAAAACATTCAGCTCTCAACCTGAACAACACTTTAATGCCTCTTAATATGTCCATTGAATCAGGTAAGGATTTTCACAAGGACCACTGTGAGTCAGAGTCACTGTGGTTACTGTCCCAGGCTATGTTGTTACGGGTCCCAAAGTTGGTACCACAGAGGATTCAGTTTGTCCTCTGGGTTGCTTCTATTCAATTCAATATGTAATACATTGTAACATAACATCACATTTCTCAGTTTGAGCACTGCACTGCACTGTCTCAGTGCAGAACTGTAGCTTAAAGGTAGGGTAGGTAATTTTGGAGAAACCGGCTCGAGTGCGCTAGAATTTGAAAATACACAGCTGGAATAAATCTGCCACTTCCTTACAGAGCCCCTCCTCCAACACACGAACGCACACATGACCAATGAGGGCACGAGATAAGTTTGTGCACAGATGGAAGGCTGACAGGCAGGTAGGCCATCCAGTTACTTTAGCCGGCCCGGCTAAAATGATTGGTCGTGCTTTTTACAGTACTGCGGCTTCCACAGATGACATTTTTTTATGGAATTTTCGTCAAAGCACTTAAGATATTCATTGCTATCGGGATGTTAAGAGCATTCCATGGAATATAACAAAGTGTATCTTGAGCCGGTTTCTCAAACTTACCTACCCCACCTTTAAGTGCAACATCTCCATAAACCTATTTTATATAACTCTCACATTTCTGTCATACATGCAGTGGCGTTTTTATATGTACAAAAGTGGTGGGGCACAAAAAACTTAAATGTCTATATATAAGCTTCTGCAGTGACGTGCAGTGAGGTTCATGGATGGTGAGGCACTGGCACTGACTCTTCAGGTTTACAAATATTATATTTTGACCTAAACCAAAATATAATATTATTTTCAAAAGCTTTTTTTGTCTGATGCTTTGATTAATTTTAAACAGACAGTTCAACAAAAGGATACCCAAAAAATGTAATTTGATCATTTAAATATTGAATTGTTCTCTCTTAGTAAGATCCCATTTTCAATAAAATTGCAGTCTTACCTTGACTTGAAGATGAAGTCCATTTGTCTATCCTTCTGGACAAACATTTCTATTACTTTTTTGTAAAAGTCCTCCTTATCTTCTTGTAGTTTCAAAAGTCTATCATAAATCTAATCGATAGATTTATGATAAAAAAATTATAAAAGTAGGGTAGACATGTGGATATTATCCGGCTGATCAAAACGTGCATTTATCTAACAGGTACGTTTCCCACAGATCTTATTTCGAGCTATTTTCTAAAATCCTCTGGAGAAACCTCATTGCTTTTTTGTGCTTACTTCCTGGTTTTAGGACGCGTCACTGCAGCTCTCTCGTCTCCTCTTCACACAGCACACTTTTCGCGGCACACGTACTTACAGCCAATCAGCTCTGAATGATTTGAGATGACGTATGGTGGGGATGGTAGCTCCGTGCCCCTCTGGTCATTATTTTTTTGCCACACACATTACATAGAAAAATACTCTGAGCATGCGCAGTGTAGTTTTTACAGTCACCGTTCACTTCACAGCGAGAGGAAGGGGCATCATCAGGTTTTGTCCCACATGGCTCTAAACAGCTCAATAGGCACACACTGTGACTGTAGACACACTAATTAGAAGAACACAGACTAAAACAGCAATGTACAGACGAATCAGATGATTAAACATGATCTTAAAATATATTTTATATATTTTTATTTTTTTTTTTGCATTTTTGTAATCATTATTTGTAATACTTTCTGCTGACACTAGGTGGGGCTGGGCCTGCCCCTAATGACCAGTCGCCACTGCATACATGGAGTCTTTTACCTCAAGCAGCATTCTGTACATTATCACATGTATAACAGTGAATCAGGGCAACTATAATGTTATAGTGCAAGGTACAGTTATATTCCACTATATTAAAGCCCTTAATTAGCTAACCGTTAATTTGGACACAGCTATCACTCAGAGAAATACTAAACATTTAAATATAAAACCTTAAGGCTATTTCTATGTTGATTTCATCAATATGATTCCCTTTTAAACTACACAACTTCTTTGCAATAAAATATTATTCCACATGATAGAGTTGAGTTCTTATAAAGTTCCTGTGGTTGTGTCTTTGTTTAGGCTGCCCCCTGCCCCCTGGTGGAGGCTCTGTACCTGCAGGAAGCAGACAGCATGCTGCAGCTGCTCTGCACCCCCTCCCAGCATCGCACAGACATCCTGGCATGGATCTGCAGCAGGTACAATAAGACACATGCCACATCTGTTGTTTTATATCAGAAATAATGTGCTAATAAGCTATTCTTTTTCCCTATCTTGACCTGTGTCTTTACAGTATTAACCCAACCTTTGCCTATTCCGAGGCAATATCTCTGAGATCCAAAGACCCAGAGGTTCGGATTAAAGGTAACATTGATGTCTCTAACAGTACATAACCAACAGCCATGCATGTCTCTTGATGGACACTTATAGTAATTCTGCTGTGGTCTGTAATACAAACAGAAATGTCTGTGCTGGGGCAGGAGCTGATGCTGTGCAGAGCAGAGGACCTGGACCTGATCAGGGTGAGAGGCTGCATTAAACAAGTGTTTATGTAATCAATTAACATGTATAGATATTCATAATGTCTTACAATTAAGCATGTCACTAGAACAACTTTTTATTTATGATAAATTGCCAAAGAAGTTCTTGCAATATATAATATCATATTTGTTTTCACACCTTTTTAAGCCCCAAGTGCCATGAAAAACACTTTAATTCGTAAGATATTTAGACGTTGGAATTTGAATGAAAATAAATGATTAAAATAATTGTTCAGATCCTGTCAACGGATAGAATGCCCAAATCTTCTCATGGTACAGAAATCCTCAGTTTTTATCTGTTGGCTAAGTGAAATTCTTATGTAAAAACAAAAGGGCAACATCAAGGTCATTTTTTATACATTGTATAATATATTAATTCAATACCGTAAAGAACTAGTCATAACAAACAGTAAAGGTCTTGTTTTGTCTGTTTAATTGATCAAACCATGTCTCCAGGGTGATGCGAGTCCTCACCGGCAGCTTCGGTTCCTGCAGCAGCTGCTGTCTTTAGTTCCTGCCTGCGAGAAGTCTGCTGGGCACAGAACGGATCAGGAGACGCTGCTGAACGAGCTCTACGCTGCTGAGAATCTGCCTCACTTCACACAAATGCTCGCTCCAACCCTGGACCCCTGGCCTGCACACATCAAGTACGTTGCTGACTTTGAGCAGCCGGCTGCACACACATATCCTTCACTAGGTTTTTATCTGCTGCATGTCGTCATTCTCTCCTCTTGATTTTCTTCCAAAAGAGTGGTGCAGTGATGATGTATCTTCTGGAACATTCAGAAGTTTAGAAATCCTTCTGTAACCAATGCCATCAGTGTGTCAAGGTCTTGAGAGAGCTCTTTGCTTTTCCCCACCATGAGATGTTTCTTGTGTGACTCCTCGGTAAGGAGGCATCTTTTTATAGGCCATCAGTTGGGACTGAACCAGCTGATATTAATTTGCACTGACCAGGGGCAGGATTGCTTTCTGATTAATGATAGACATCAGCTGGTGTCTTGGCTTTCCATGCCTTTTTGCACCTCCCTTTCTTCATGTGTTTAATACTTTTTCCCTGTGTCATTCCATGTTATTACACATAGCTTATTTTTGGAACGTATTTGTTTTGGTTTCCTTGCTTGTGTGAAATGCATGGGTTGTTACCGACATCTGGTGAACATGTAATGTCAATAGCACCTTTTAGAAATATATTTAATGAGAAAAATGGTGACGTGTTCAATACTTATTTTACCCGCTGTGTGTGTCTCACTGCCATTCCTTACTTCACAGGGCTTTACACAACAGCACCAAATCATCGTCCCATAGATCAAGTGGAGAAGAGGCTGCTGATGGAGCTGCTCTTTTACAGCAGGCTCAGTCTACACTGGAGAAGCTGCAGTCAGAGGTATGTGGTCAAGTGGCTGCAGAGATATAGACAGGGGTGCACATAACTGGTACGCATGGGGTGCACATAACTGGTACGCATGGGCGGCAAAAATCTGAAATGCGTAACGTCACTTTTGTCCCTGTGCGCCTTTGCGTACCTGATAGATCATCAAAACAAAACACATATTTCGTCTACACGTGTTTCTTGTCAACACTCAGTGGAGTTAACATGTCCAAAAGACATTAAGCAGCTACTTTGCCGTTTTGCGCCCTGCTAAAAATCTTCTGACTTTCTTGGACTGATTGTACTGGGTGCTGGCCGAGCCGAGCAGGCCATAACCGACGGACCTGAGAAGCTTTACAGGAGGCAGAGACTTAGATCACTGGACGACAGAGTTGTTCACCGTGTGCACAGACAGGGCTGCTGTTAACGTCGGTATGAACAACATAATTGTGCCAAAACTACGTAAACTGGCTGCGGAGGGAGACTCCCCTGTGCACATTCTGTTGTAAGCTGATCACAACGTTCACGCTCTGTGGTCAAGCTGCTGCAGTTTTATTTCCAACAAGGTGGAGCAAAACCAAACACACAGGTGCAAACTTACTCAGGGTGTTAATGGAAGAGTTTGAAATCAGACAGAGGTGGAAGAAGTACTCAGATCTTGTACTTGAGTAAAAGCAGAAGTACCATAGTGTAGGAATACTCTGTTACAGTAAAAGTCCTGCATTCAAAATGTTACAATTAAATAATTGTTTACATTAATGGTGACCAAAACGTTTGAGACCCACTGAGATAACACTGAGAGAGTCCTTTAGCTCACTGAGTCTCTCAGTCTGACAGGAGAGGACTCTCCTCCACTTTGTTGTTGAAAAAACTCCTTATATCCGTTAGCGTAGCTCGCTAGCACCAGAAGCTAACAACAACGATCTCAGGTACCCTCTCTCTCTCTCTCTCTCTCTCTCTCTCTCTCTCTCTCTCTCTCTCTCTCTCTCTCTCTCTCTCTCTCTCGCGCGCGCGCACACACAAAATGGCTCGTTCCACACACACACAGAGCCGAGCTTTAATGAAACACAGAGACCCAGACGTAATAGTGCTGTACTGTATCATATTATTTTCGAATCAATAATTCTTCAAATTATGATTTTTTTTTTTTTTTTTTTAATAACTATTTTTCCTCCTGGTTTCACGCGCCCCCCCCTGGCATGCCTCTGCGCCCCCCAGGGGGGGCGCACCCCCCACTTTGAGAACCACTGCACTAGCCACATAAACACAACAAACATAAACAAACAAAACAGCTCATCTCATGAATAATCAACAATCAAGTTAGTGAAGTGAAACAAAACATTTCTTCCTTTCAACCATTATTTAGAAATAAATGAAATGTATACACACAGAGAAAATGTTCAATTATTATTTCAGTAATGAAGGTTTTGTTTGAACTGTTATTTAGTATTCCCTTGAACAATGTGCCCCGGAAATATTTCCAGCTGACCCTGTTTTGCTTTAGGCATATTGTATTTGATAATTGTGTCAAGCATACTGAGAGAGAAACCTTTCCCAAAATATCTTGACTGTCTCTGTCACAGTTCAGACAGAACTCCACAAAGCATCTGTAGATCTCTGCCTGACAGTTAACCAGCTCAGTGTGTCGTGCATGTCCATTACACTAGTTTTGTAAGAACTCAATAACACGTTTTCTAACTATAAACATTTGTCTCTCTCTCTCCAATCTTTTCTCCGGTTCTCCTCAGTGTGAGTTCCTGAGCAGTGAGACTCAGAGTTCCGGTGTGTTCTCTCCGGGCTCTCTAAGGGTGGCAGCGTGTGACCTCCAGATGTTGATGGCTGCTTTCAGCCATGTTTTTGAAACAGACCTGAGAGCTTACTGCAGCAGAGACCCCCCCAGCTTCAGCACAGAGACCCACGTCTTCCAGAGGATACACCAGCTGCTGCCGGCCTTCATCATGGTACTCATACATCTGTTGAACATCACTATTCAAGAATCTGTCTCAACACAGGCAGATTTGGATAAGGCAACACTAATATTATTAGTATTATAGTATGAGTAGAAATAGATTCAGTGGTGGCTGTGTAGGATTGCCTAATTCTAACGTTTCTGATAGCACCAGAGTGTTGGGAAGTCCAAAAATGTAAATGTATGAAAAAATTAAGATGTAATCGTACCCACTATTTACAACTTGTTTTTACCCAACCACATATTTGTTGGTGTTTAGCAAAAACAACTTATATACTGCAGTAAAGATCTGTCCCTATGCTGCACAAAAAGCCACAATTTATTTAGTTAAAGAAGCTATTTAAGTAAAAACCGGCCTGACTTATCCAAGCCAATTAATCACTTTACGCTAATTGAATATTTTTTCTTCAAGGAATTGTTATTTGTTTTAAATGTGATGACATCCGAAATGATGAAGTCGTAGTAGACTCTAAAGAGATAATTCACTATTTTCTATTGGTTAACACTAGAAATCAACTCGTGCCTTTTCCGTTACCTTCACACTAACGGTACGTCCACACAGCAGCGTTAAAAAAAATCTTGGAGGTGGGCGTATCTGAAGCTTGGGAATTTTTTGCGACCAACAACCAATCACATGAATCTCCCGCCCCCGACATACGAAGCAAAAAAGCCCGAAGTAAACTGGATATAAACTCCCCAAACAGGCGAAAACCTACCACTGTCTCTGCCACCTCCCTCCATGCCTGGCTCCTCCGGTTTGTATCCCGGTAGGTAAATAGGGACTGGTCATAAAGCACCGGGTGATTCCCTACCGCTAATTTCTCCTCCATTTTTTGGAATATGAGGAAATGACCTGCGGTATGTCTCTCCCAGCATACACGCGGTTTGATTGGCTAGCGCTTGAACTGTCAGATTTGCATACACGGGATTTGATTGGCTGATGCTTCCACCTCAGCTTCAAAAGTTGAACATTGCTCAACTTTTGAAGCCTGAGATGCCTGGAAATCTCCGCTTTGCTTCCCACAATGCAGTTCGGCGAAAAGTGAGGCAAAGTGACGTCACCCCAAACGCTGCTGTGTGGACGGGCCGTAACACAGTCACAGTTACACAGTATCACTGCGTCACCATGAAGAATGAAAGAGTAACGTTTTGCCAGTGGTTCTCTTGTTGAGTGCTTGGTGTGCTTAAATATACACGCATGTTTTGTAATCAGAGATAGAAGTTGTTTGTCTCTATTTTCTCACAACTTCTACAACGTCCCGACGGTACTGATACTTTATTTTGTGTGTCTTCTTTCTCAGGAGTTGGACATGCTAAAGGAAGTATCAGAAGCTTCTGCATCCGTTACTGAGGAAGTAGAGCAGCTACAAACACAGCCCAGCTACCGGAGCAGAGGAGAGAAGCGCAATCTACGTGAGTGAATATCCGTGTTCACTTGCACACTCACGCATAGGTCAATTTTACCATGATAACAAAAAAACGTGTTCCCTTCTGTTGTGTTTTTTCCAGCTGATCAACTGGAGGAACTTACCAGGAGAATAAGAGACGTTTTCTCCCTGCTTCAGTCCTGATCCACACGATACAATAGTCACTATAAATTCACAATACAGCAATCAGCCATTTAATATTTCTCCCTTACTTTGTCCCTTGCAGAACTCCATTTTAATGTTTATATTGTATAACTGAATAAATGTCAATGTTTAAAACTTTTTAAATTGTAATCCATACAGTTTTATCTTGTGAAGCATCATTCATTTCTATTTCTTTACATTTTGTGATTATCTTTTCGGGCTGCAGCAACTAGTTGATCAACAGAGATTGTTCAGGGTTTCTAAGGCTGGAGGATGTTTAATGATATTTCAGACAAACTTTAACATAACTAAAATAATAGGTGCAAATGTACACGTATAACTTAAGGTTAGGAATAGTTTTGCCCAGATCTTGCTCTAAATATCTTCATCTACATGTGAAATGCATTCAGTAAGTCTTATAAACAGATGTTAACAATTTATATTTTTAATTGCGATGTCAGAAAAGTAATCATTCATACAATTCTACTTCCCATATCATAGCATTTTGAAACCTATTGAAAAACCTTGGTTGGTGATTGGCTAATGGTTACACAAGACAAAACATCGTTATGACATCATAAAGTGGTCAAAATCTGATCAGCTGATTTTCAGACAGGTTTCTATATAAATGGATCAGGACAAAAAGAGAGAATCTTTGTTCCTGAAACTTTCAGAGTCTCTTTACACAGAGGGGACACATGTTGATGAAGAAGAGACATGAGGAAGAGGGGACACATGTTGATGTAGAAGAGACATGAAGAAGAGGGGACACATGTTGATGTAGAAGAGACATGAAGAAGAGGGGACACATGTTGATGTAGAAGAGACATGAAGAAGAGGGGACACATGTTGATGTAGAAGAGACATGAAGAAGAGGGGACACATGTTGATGTAGAAGAGACATGAAGAAGAGGGGACACATGTTGATGTCGAAGAGACATGAAGAAGAGGGGACACATGTTGATGTAGAAAGGACAGGAACAATGGATTTTGCATAATAGCTGACCTTTAAACACTTATGTTTTGTACAATGTTAAATGAAGTCTGATGGATGAATGATATAAGGCAAGCTATATAGTTAAATTACATTAGCCTTTACAGAGAAGCTAAACCATCTCAGTTGAAGATAAACTTAAAAGGACTGCACACTGTAACAAAGTTGGATAACAATCTTTCAAGCTGAATCAGCTCGTGAGAGAAATAAACAAAAAAGAAAGTGGACTAGGTTTTAATATTTAATGTTTCATTCATTACATGTACATTACATTACATGTACATTCTACAGGTGCACCATAGAGAGGGTCCTGACCTTCTACAGGTGCACCATAGAGAGGGTCCTGACCTTCTACAGGTGCACCATAGAGAGGATCCTGACCTTCTACAGGTGCACCATAGAGAGCATCCTGACCTTCTACAGGTGCACCATAGAGAGCATCCTGACCTTCTACAGGTGCACCATAGAGAGCATCCTGACCTACAGGTGCACCATAGAGAGGGTCCTGACCTTCTACAGGTGCACCATAGAGAGCATCCTGACCTCCTACAGGTGCACCATAGAGAGCATCCTGACCTTCTACAGGTGCACCATAGAGAGCATCCTGACCTTCTACAGGTGCACCATAGAGAGGATCCTGACCTTCTACAGGTGCACCATAGAGAGTATCCTGACCTTCTACAGGTGCACCATAGAGAGCATCCTGACCTTCTACAGGTGCACCATAGAGAGCATCCTGACCTTCTACAGGTGCACCATAGAGAGGATCCTGACCTTCTACAGGTGCACCATAGAGAAGGTCCTGACCTTCTACAGGTGCACCATAGAGAGGGTCCTGACCTTCTACAGGTGCACCATAGAGAAGGTCCTGACCTTCTACAGGTGCACCATAGAGAGGATCCTGACCTTCTACAGGTGCACCATAGAGAAGGTCCTGACCTTCTACAGGTGCACCATAGAGAGGATCCTGACCTTCTACAGGTGCACCATAGAGAGGGTCCTGACCTTCTACATGTGCACCATAGAGAGCATCCTGACTGGCTGCATCACGGCCTGGTACGGCAGCTGCACCCCCCTTAACCGTAAGGCTTTACAGAGGGTGGTGAAAACTGCACAGAACATCACCAGGATGGAGCTGCCATCCATGGAGGACCTCTACTCCCAGCGGCTCAGGAAGAAAGCCCACAGGGAACGTATGGAGAGCAAAATTAACGGTTAAAGGAGAGGTGTCATGGCCATTTCCACTGATCATAATTCCATTGTTGAGGTATACTAAAATAGATTTATACTGTGCAATTTTCCAAACTCACATTGGTTTCGCATACAGCATCTCTGTAAAGTATGTGTATTCAGCAGTATTCACTCTCTCCACTAAACGGCTCGTTGGAGCACTTGCCCCCCCCTCCCTGTGAGCCCAGTGTGCTCCGATTGGTCAGCTCGGCCCCTCTGTTCTGATTAGTCAACCACCAGAGAGGCTCTGCCCATGTCTAACAGTGCTTTTCTTCGGCTCGCTCTGAGCATGGGTGTATAATAAGAGGCTCTGAGCGGAATATCAGTCTGATGGCGTCGGTACAACCGTATATGTTATACGCTAACTAACCGAACTGTACCTACAACTGTATTTAGGTGCACTTGTGGAAACTGCACCATGATGCCTACCGAAGTGGAAAACATCTGTTGCAAAGAAATTAGAAAGGTGGCCTAGCTGACAGTTAGCTGCTAGCAGAGATGGGGTCGTTACTAAAAAAAAGTAATATATTACATATTACATATTACTTTAAAAAAAAGTAATATATTACACTACTTCGTTACTCTCTACATAAAGTAACTCGTTACTTTACTCGCTACTTTACTCATTACTTTACTCGCAGGGCCGGCCCGCCCCTCCCTACAGGCAGGTCACGCAGACTGCTAAAGTTTCAAATGTTCTCTTTAGTTCAGTTTCCATTGTCGCATAAGACTGATCCAGATAGCTCTGACTATGGCTGTCCTCTGTCTCCTGCTATCTGTATTTTGCGCAGTATATCTCTGAACGATGCGATGGTGATTCCACTGTGCAAATGGGCAACATTTTCTCTACTATGAAGGATGCTACAAGCCTGTCCATCTCTGCTTTGGTTACCGGTCCTCCAAATTCTAATTTGTGCTGCTTTGGAGTCGGCGGCGGCGACTCACAACATCCTCACTCTGGGTTCGGGGGTCCTTAGCTATTAGCTTCACCTTAGCTTGTGTTCTTTGCAGGTGTTTGTTGAGGTTTGACGTGGTGTTTACAGCAGTGGATAACAGCTTCTGGCCTGGACACAGTTTGCACCTCACCGTTACATTCCTGTCTATTCTTCGGACAAACTCAAAATAATGGGCATACCTCCACCCCTCGAAAGTTATCGCTGATTCAGCCATGTTTATGCAGCACTGCACCTGGAGATGTGGACGCGCAAGTCGCACAGATTACGTACATATAAACCTGCGGCGGAAACCCCTCTTGTCTGTCAGTGTGATTATGACTGATTTTATAAAAGTAACGAAGTAACGCGTGTCGGGGCAATGTTAGTAACTGTAGTGTGATTACTGAATTATAAAAGTAACGCGTTACACTACTCCGTTACCGACAAAAGTAATATTATTACTCACACCCAACTCTGGCTGCTAGTTAGCTGAAAACACCAACAGTAGATCACAACATTATATGCCAATATATACACCATACACACCCCGCAGAACCTCCATAACATGTACAGATTCGATTATACAGTAGACCTTTGAGGTGTAGAACGGAAGAAGAGTAAGAGTAACTACTACTGTGTTTGATGAAAAATCAAATCATGGTTTGCTATATATGAATGATATGTTATAGGAGCAAATCATTAAGGGAAGAAAGGCTAAGTATTTTCCATCAAACTTTATTTTTAGAAATGTACAAAATGAACATAAATATACATATAATACACGGTATATCATCCATTCCTCCCCGTTGTCGGCATCTTGCCTATCACAGCCGGGGCTTTTTAGGACGAGGCATCAGAGTGTGGTAGTCCCGTCCCCGTCATGTATTGTCCGCCAGGATCTGGCTGGACGAAATCAAATGCAAATCACAAAATATTAGAGACACTTATTTGTTTTAGATTCGTTAGTAGTAGTTGTGGTAGGAGTGTGGATCTATCTAATCCATCTGTTAAGCATATTTGTATAAGAACAAAGTCATGTTTCAGTTCATGTGTATGACATCATCAGAATGTGCCTGAGTGAAAGAAACGTGGTCATGCTAATGAGCATGCGCAGATTCAATAAACGGCCCGTACTCCAGGCCAAACTCTGAGCGATGTGGTCGTGTGTGTTTTTCTGTCCGTAGCATACTTACAAACTACTTTGGTTGACTGCAAACGTGGAGACTTCTGCTGAATATAATGTCTCACGCAACAGGTTATGGGCCCAGTCAAGGAGGCCAAAGGTGGTTTAAGTTGTTATTCGACGGTGACGAGAAAAACTTTGAGTTATGGGAGACGAGGTTTTTGGCGCACATGGAATTGCGCGGCCTCAGTGAAGTTATCCTGGAAGAGCCAGCGATAGACTACAACAACGAACAAGCACTTGAAGAAGACGCAACAAAGAATGCAGAAGCATATGCTGAATTAGTGCAGTGTCTAGATAATAAGAGTTTATCACTCATGAGAGACGCAAAACGAGATGGAAGAAAAGCGTTGGCAATACTCCGAGAGCACTACGCAGGAAAGGACAAACCACGAGTCGTGAGCCTGTACTGTGAACTCTCTTCTCTCCACAAAGCAAGCAACGAGACTGTTACTGATTATATTATTCGAGCGGAGACTATATTCACGTCTTTGAGAAGGGCCGAAGAAAATATCAGTGAGGGGTTGCAGATTGCCATGGTAGTGAAGGGGTTACCGGACTCATTCAACCCGTTTGTCGTGCACGTCACTCAAACCAACGACCGTCTAACGTTCGGTGACTTCAAAGCTAAACTGCGGAGCTATGAGAGCACTGACAAATATAGGACGAGTGACATGAATGCGGATGAGGACGGCGTTATGAGGACTAGCGGGGCAAGGACACGAGGACGTGGAAGAGGGAAGAAGATGGACTTGGCTGACACTGAATGCTACACATGCGGAAAGATGGGGCATATGGCTAGGACATGCCCTAACG